AAAAAAAAAAAAAAAAAAGGTACAATGGGCTAAACTGCCTTCCTCTAAGCCCATATTATTTCTATGAAATTGCTATGAAACATATACAAGGACTTACTGACTTTAAAAAATATATTTTAACAGAATATTTTATAATAAGTAATTTTTATCTTATGAACTTCTTCAAACAATGATTAACACGCACCTGGTCTACATATGCTACATTTTGGTCTTTTTAAAATTACTACCCTACTTGATCATTTCCATCTCCCAAATGAGGAGTGCTTCTCCCTGAAATCATCTGCCTTCATTGGTATTCAGAGGTTGTACCGGGAAGATATTATCACTTTAGGCAAGCAATTACATCTAATTCTCTGTTGGCTAACTCTGGTAGCCCACTTTAGTAATGTTCAGAATCACAGAAAATCAAGTCATTGGTATTCCACACTAAGCTTCTATTACACACCGGCCATGTTAGAAGCGTAATTAATACCAGACAAATGTATGGTAATTGGTATCTAGTGAATCTAAAACAAATAAAATAAGCTTCCCAGAGTTTTGTACCCATTAACCATCATAGGAAGGATAAAGCAAAGTAATATGTTGGGAAAAGTGCTGAGAGAGAAAACAGAAAAATTACATATGGACATCATTGTGAGTCATATTTCAGGAAGGATATTTTAAATATGAAAAAGTGGCACTGTGTAAAAACAAAGTGAACAGTTTGCTTTCAACCAAAACCTTTCTACTCTGGTAAGAGTTTACCAGGTTTTAATCTGAAATTAAATAAGGAAACAAATAAAATAGACTGGGGACACTGTTTTCAAAGCTCAAACCTATATAGGTAAGCTGAGTTATGAGTGAGTTTGGCTATCAATTTATCCTAGGACAGGCAAGACAGACATTATATTCCCATTTTACAGTTAAGGAAGCTGAAGTTCAGCGAGACAGTCAGTAAGTGGAAAGATAACTGTATTTGAAGTCACAAGATCTGGGTTTGAATCCAGGCTCTGCCTCTTTCCAACTCTGTGATTATAGAAAATTCATAATCTTAAAATGATTGAGACAAAAATGGAAATCATTAGGCCTAAGGATAAATGAGGAAACTAGTAATAGGAATCTTTAACCAAGGAACTTTTTTTGTACTAGACAGCACTGTTTCTCTAAGTCCATCTCAACTTGAAATAATAGTTCCATAAAACTATTAAGTAACATTAAAAATATTTCTAAGGTATGTGGAAAACAGAATTTAAAAAGTATACACATATTATTTCAGACTGTATATAACTTTATGTTTATAGAAATACAGAGGTAGCTATTCCTGATGAGGAAAGATTATTAAAGGGATTCATTTTAACTTTATGTATTTATGTTATACATATTTATGTATTTATATATTTTATATATTGAATTTTGTTTTTACAGCCATATATACATATCAATGTTTTATCTGTATAATTAAACTAAAAGAAAAAGGAAGAAAGTGGGCTAAAGAAAACAGTTACCATCAGGGTGATGATATTTTATAAATGATTTAAACAAGAGTTTAATGTTGCTATATTGTTTTTATAATAAAAAAGTACACAGGAATTCATTTATTCATTCAACAAATGCTTACTGAGTGTCTACTACTATAAGCTGTGTTATTTATTATATAGCTATAATACTTAAGATCAGCTGCAAAGAAAAATCTGTTTACTTCTACATTCAACAAACATATGCTGAATGTCCACCAGGTAACCAGGTATATTTTAGAGAACAGAAAGGTACTGAAGAACTATTAAGGACTAAGTGTGAAAGAGGAGAGATGTAAAATAAACAAAAGCACAATGTGAAAGTGCAACTGTGGAACTGTGCATACAG